TGCTTGTGTGTGTGCATGTGTTCGTGTGTGTGCGCGTGCGTGCGCGTGCACTTATACGTGTGTACTTGTGACCATGCTTATACCGTGGTCTATGTAGAATTCCTTAATTCTTTACCAACTTTACAAGGAGCACTTCGATATGCATATATAGATTCGAAGGAGTAACATCGGTTGATCATAAACCGCAGAACACGTTAACGGTCGCCTAATGCCAACCCAAAATCAAAATGGCACCACAGACGACACCACGCAGTCCCACGCGGCGTAGGATCTAGGCAACCACAACACACACTCCTCGCCATACACTGTGTAAAGGGAATGACACTGTAACCTCCTTTTCTATTCATCGCTTGTCATTGTCGGTGTCTTGAAGATGGTCATTAACCTATGAACTCCCTTCTGTATGTCTTATTACTCAGATATTCTCCATAAACTTTCTCCTTTTTTGGGGTCCTATTGAATGACCAATGAGCGGAAGACAATGGTGTTTTTGGTATCAGTCGAAAGGTAGTTATAGGCCTATACAGGAGAGACGAAACTATATAGGCACTGCATTCCGTTTCTCGTACTCCTTGGGAATTTTAAAATCTTGATATAAGGCATTACAATTCGCGCATACGTTGAAATTATCTATTGGCAAAGCAGGCAATTCTCCCTTTTCTAATCTGTCTCAGAGTAAGAACATCATGTAAGTAAAATGTAGGTGTAATATATAAAACATGTATATATGTAGGACTTTCTTTCTAAAATGAACAACTGTATGTCTGAATAGGAAGAGCAAATATGCACGAAAAACAACAGTAATTTGGAAACTAAACAATATTTATAGCATTTGAAAACTAGAAAAGCACTCACAGAGTGCAGACCTGAATGCAGTTTAAATTGTCAATTTTACCGTGTGCGTGTGCGTGTGCGTGTGCGTGTGCGTGTGCGTGTGCGTGTGCGTGTGCGTGTGCGTGTGCGTGTGCGTGTGCGTGTGCGTGTGCGTGTGCGTGTGCGTGTGCGTGTGCGTGTGCGTGTGCGTGTGCGTGTGCGTGTGCGTGTGCGTGTGCGTGTGCGTGTGCGTGTGCGTGTGCGTGTGCGTGTGCGTGTGCGTGTGCGTGTGCGTGTGCGTGTGCGTGTGCGTGTGCGTGTGCGTGTGCGTGTGCGTGTGCGTGTGCGTGTGCGTGTGCGTGTGCGTGTGCGTGTGCGTGTGCGTGTGCGTGTGCGTGTGCGTGTGCGTGTGCGTGTGCGTGTGCGTGTGCGTGTGCGTGTGCGTGTGCGTGTGCGTGTGCGTGTGCGTGTGCGTGTGCGTGTGCGTGTGCGTGTGCGTGTGCGTGTGCGTGTGCGTGTGCGTGTGCGTGTGCGTGTGCGTGTGCGTGTGCGTGTGCGTGTGCGTGTGCGTGTGCGTGTGCGTGTGCGTGTGCGTGTGCGTGTGCGTGTGCGTGTGCGTGTGCGTGTGCGTGTGCGTGTGCGTGTGCGTGTGCGTGTGCGTGTGCGTGTGCGTGTGCGTGTGCGTGTGCGTGTGCGTGTGCGTGTGCGTGTGCGTGTGCGTGTGCGTGTGCGTGTGCGTGTGCGTGTGCGTGTGCGTGTGCGTGTGCGTGTGCGTGTGCGTGTGCGTGTGCGTGTGCGTGTGCGTGTGCGTGTGCGTGTGCGTGTGCGTGTGCGTGTGCGTGTGCGTGTGCGTGTGCGTGTGCGTGTGCGTGTGCGTGTGCGTGTGCGTGTGCGTGTGCGTGTGCGTGTGCGTGTGCGTGTGCGTGTGCGTGTGCGTGTGCGTGTGCGTGTGCGTGTGCGTGTGCGTGTGCGTGTGCGTGTGCGTGTGCGTGTGCGTGTGCGTGTGCGTGTGCGTGTGCGTGTGCGTGTGCGTGTGCGTGTGCGTGTGCGTGTGCGTGTGCGTGTGCGTGTGCGTGTGCGTGTGCGTGTGCGTGTGCGTGTGCGTGTGCGTGTGCGTGTGCGTGTGCGTGTGCGTGTGCGTGTGCGTGTGCGTGTGCGTGTGCGTGTGCGTGTGCGTGTGCGTGTGCGTGTGCGTGTGCGTGTGCGTGTGCGTGTGCGTGTGCGTGTGCGTGTGCGTGTGCGTGTGCGTGTGCGTGTGCGTGTGCGTGTGCGTGTGCGTGTGCGTGTGCGTGTGCGTGTGCGTGTGCGTGTGCGTGTGCGTGTGCGTGTGCGTGTGCGTGTGCGTGTGCGTGTGCGTGTGCGTGTGCGTGTGCGTGTGCGTGTGCGTGTGCGTGTGCGTGTGCGTGTGCGTGTGCGTGTGCGTGTGCGTGTGCGTGTGCGTGTGCGTGTGCGTGTGCGTGTGCGTGTGCGTGTGCGTGTGCGTGTGCGTGTGCGTGTGCGTGTGCGTGTGCGTGTGCGTGTGCGTGTGCGTGTGCGTGTGCGTGTGCGTGTGCGTGTGCGTGTGCGTGTGCGTGTGCGTGTGCGTGTGCGTGTGCGTGTGCGTGTGCGTGTGCGTGTGCGTGTGCGTGTGCGTGTGCGTGTGCGTGTGCGTGTGCGTGTGCGTGTGCGTGTGCGTGTGCGTGTGCGTGTGCGTGTGCGTGTGCGTGTGCGTGTGCGTGTGCGTGTGCGTGTGCGTGTGCGTGTGCGTGTGCGTGTGCGTGTGCGTGTGCGTGTGCGTGTGCGTGTGCGTGTGCGTGTGCGTGTGCGTGTGCGTGTGCGTGTGCGTGTGCGTGTGCGTGTGCGTGTGCGTGTGCGTGTGCGTGTGCGTGTGCGTGTGCGTGTGCGTGTGCGTGTGCGTGTGCGTGTGCGTGTGCGTGTGCGTGTGCGTGTGCGTGTGCGTGTGCGTGTGCGTGTGCGTGTGCGTGTGCGTGTGCGTGTGCGTGTGCGTGTGCGTGTGCGTGTGCGTGTGCGTGTGCGTGTGCGTGTGCGTGTGCGTGTGCGTGTGCGTGTGCGTGTGCGTGTGCGTGTGCGTGTGCGTGTGCGTGTGCGTGTGCGTGTGCGTGTGCGTGTGCGTGTGCGTGTGCGTGTGCGTGTGCGTGTGCGTGTGCGTGTGCGTGTGCGTGTGCGTGTGCGTGTGCGTGTGCGTGTGCGTGTGCGTGTGCGTGTGCGTGTGCGTGTGCGTGTGCGTGTGCGTGTGCGTGTGCGTGTGCGTGTGCGTGTGCGTGTGCGTGTGCGTGTGCGTGTGCGTGTGCGTGTGCGTGTGCGTGTGCGTGTGCGTGTGCGTGTGCGTGTGCGTGTGCGTGTGCGTGTGCGTGTGCGTGTGCGTGTGCGTGTGCGTGTGCGTGTGCGTGTGCGTGTGCGTGTGCGTGTGCGTGTGCGTGTGCGTGTGCGTGTGCGTGTGCGTGTGCGTGTGCGTGTGCGTGTGCGTGTGCGTGTGCGTGTGCTAACAAACAAACAAACAAACAAACAAACAAACTCCGTCAAAAACATAACCTCCTTGGCGGAGGTAAAAATCAACGTCCTATCGTAATATCACTTTCCCCGCAACTATCGTAATACACGCAACAGGCAGGGACAACCAACAGTTTTTTTTAGCCATAAGTCAAAACCATTTTCTTTTTTTCCTTTTTTTTGGGGGGGGGGGGTCGCTCTTTGACATGTTGCTGAACAAATACTGTATTTTGTGGTCATGAGTGTTAACGGTCTTACTGCTTTTATTTAACTCGCAACGTGTCTCACCTGTTCCTTGATTTGCAGAAAAATGGAAGGAAATTATATTTTAATTTAGCTTTTTACCAACTCTGTTTTTCCGACTCATTTTATTAGAACAATTTTCGTCTAATGTCTGCGACCATTCTAAAGATCTAATTTACATACGAACTTAATCTGACTACATCGCCAAGCATGAAAGTTCTATGCCTGATTTACATCTTGAAAACAATGACGATATCTAAATCTTAATCTTTATTGGTGAAAACTCCGCCTCTAACGAAAATAAATAAATAAATAAACAAAGAAATAATATTGAGATCAGTAAAATATAAGATAATATATAATGTTAAGGAGTAACCTAACCAGCCTAAGGCCAACCCTCTTCCCCCCCTCCCCTCTCCCCCCCCTCCGGCTCGAAAGACAAGGGAAAGATTCGGAATAATTATCACAACACCGCCTCCCTCCCCCCCCCTCCTCCTCCTCCCATCCTCACCCCAGTCACCCAGAATCCAATACCGTTAATTTTTTGATAAATGTATAATCATACCCTCTCCTACCCTTGCCCCTACCCCCCCTCCCCTGTGCCCCTGCCCATCCCTTCCCTGTCGACCTCCCCCTTCCCTGCTGACCTCCCCCCCCCCCGACCCCTTCCTACTGACCCCGACCCCAAGACCACCTCATGTCTCATAGTCGCCTCACACCTCACAGTTACACAATACCTCATAGATATACATTATAATCGCCTCATCCTTCATAGTTACCTCATACATCAGTTACCCTATACGTCACAGTCGCCTCATACCTCATAGTTACCCTATACATCATAGTCGCCTCATGCCTCATAGTTACCTCATACATCAGTTACCCTATACGTCACAGTCGCCTCATACCTCATAGTTACCCTATACCTCATAGTCGCGTCATACCTCATAGTCGAATCATTCCTCATAGTCGCATCATTCCTCATAGTCACCTCATGCCTTTTAGTCGCCTCATGCCTCATAGTCGCGTCATAACTCATAGTCACCTCATGCCTTATAGTCGCCTCATGCCTCATAGTCGCTTCATACCTCATAGTCACCTCATAGTCCTGACTCTTATTCACAGTTGGGTTGATCCGTGGGTCTAGCGTGTGTGTA